CCACCTTCTGATCTCAACGTAATGGAAAAGTATGAATTCGATAACTAATGTCGATGACGCGAAGCATTGCTCTTTTTTTCCGGCGTCATACCATTCCGGAGCGTTTATGATTCTTACCAATCTTAGTGAAAACTTCAGGCAAAAGCAGTATGAGCATATGTTTCTTTAAGCTTTAATCAATCTATTTAAATATTTTCCTAATTTTGGGTCGCAACAGAAAATTTATTGTCAAGTCAAAGAAATCGAGTAATTATGTGGTAGTATGAAAGCAAATCAAACTATTTGCATCTCTAACAATCAAATGACTAGTCAAATGACAGGAGCAATGCTCGATTTATTTTCATAACTATTGCAATTCAAAAGTCAAATTACTTTAACTCAACAATCTAAAAAACTCTTGCATTTTGGGTGGTGGAAAAAGTTGGTGGATAATTCTTGTTCGTACATCCATAACCCACACATGCATCTATGCATAGCTTTCATTCGTCACACTATAGTTACTGCTATCCACATACTAATACATACATTTACAATTAAATACATACAGATTTACACATATCTAAAAATCATTTAAACTGCCTTAATTCAAAGTATGGCGAAGGAGATTAAAGCTCCGCACATTCCAAAACTGCATTAGAGTTGTTATGTATCCTTCTTCATCGTCATCATTTACAATACATCTGCACACTTTTAAGCGATAGAATTTCCGCATGTCAGTCACGAGTTGAAGTACCAAAAAAATCCACAAAACTTTCAAATAATTTTGGAAGATCAACAAAGCTATTAAAAAAAAAGATTATAGGACGATTCTTTTGCCTTTATCGTATAAAGAAAACGCACACGAGGAAACGCTCAACATTATCTCAATCAAAAGACAAGAAGAAACAAGAAAGTAACAAACGCAAAAAAAAGTTTTCTGAAAAAAAAAATTCCATTTAAAACCAAAGATTTTTTAGGGAGAATGATTTACCATTTAGTGCGGTTGAAACGATCGCGCGATCGAATCAAGACTTGATGAGTTTCATGATCTTCGAACCAATGTTTCAGAGATCGACACGAACACGAACTTAAAAACAGAGAGATTTGGAACTTGGAAGAAGACAACACCGACTTGTTCTTCTTCTTAAATTTTGAAAAGTTTAACGATTCTAGCCGTTTGTTACTACCGTTATAGTACTATTACACGTAGGATTCAAAATATAACCGTTATTAAATTATAACACGTAGATTAAAAACTTATATAGTATTAAACATATTATACGATAATTATGGGCCTACGGCAAATCTTAAGAGCATTTTTCCGTTGTTAGTAAAACGGCATCCGGTTTATTTACGAATGTGGAAAACAGCAAGGTGTGCTAGAGGCCTGAGTCATTGGGCCTATTGAACTTTCTTTAGGCCCATCGTTTTGATCCTTAACCGGTATTTAGTAATTAGAAATCGAGATCCTCATGTGTTCAATTTCCGACCTAAAGATCTCTGATCAAAAGCCCTAGACCTAATTCCTCAAATCTGATTCTCTTCCTCGTACAAAGCTTTTGTCTGATTGACTGATTGTTTTTCTTCTGTTGAATTTTTCGGGGACAATACAGAGCAGCGAAAATGGTTTTAGCGGAGTTAGGAGGGAGGATTACCTGCGCTATAAGGAAGATGAACAACGTGACAATTATCGATGAAAAGTCTCTTAACGAATGCTTGAACGAGATCACTCGTGCTCTGCTTCAATCCGATGTTTCTTTTCCTCTTGTGAAGAACATGCAAACCAATATCAAGAACATCGTCAATCTCCAAGATCTTGCAGTTGGTCACAACAAACGAAAGATCATTGAACAGGTTTCATTTTCTTGTTCTGCATTAGATTTTGTCCATATATCTTGTTTGTGTGGTGTTGCTTGGTTTTGATTCTTGTCTTTGTTTCTTTCAGGCTATCTTCAGTGAACTCTGTAAGATGCTTGATCCAGGAAAGCCTGTCTTTAACCCTAAAAAGACCAAACCTAGTGTTGTTATGTTTGTTGGATTACAAGGTTCTGGTAAAACCACTACTTGTACCAAGTATGCTTATCATCATCAGAAGAAAGGGTTTAAACCGGCTTTAGTGTGTGCGGATACTTTCAGAGCTGGTGCTTTTGATCAGCTGAAACAGAATGCAACCAAAGCTAAGATCCCTTTTTATGGAAGGTACTCATATCAATCTTGTTCTGTATTTGAAACCATTCTTCTGAATGTGCTAATGTTGAGTTGTGGTTCTTTGTAGCTATACGGAGTCTGATCCTGTGAAGATTGCTGTTGAAGGAGTTGATAGGTTCAAGAAAGAGAATTGTGATCTTATTATTGTTGATACTAGTGGTCGACATAAACAAGAAGCTTCTCTCTTTGAAGAAATGCGTCAAGTTGCCGAAGCGACGGTATATGCTTAATTTGTGTTATGTTTTATAGTTCGTGGTTTATGTGATCATCGTGGTCTTTTTCACTTTGCAGAAACCAGACCTTGTTATATTTGTTATGGATAGTAGTATTGGTCAAGCTGCATTTGATCAAGCTCAAGCATTTAAGCAAAGTGTTTCTGTTGGAGCTGTAATTATTACTAAGATGGATGGTCATGCCAAAGGTGGTGGTGCTCTTAGCGCGTAAGTATCTTTGTCGATATGAAATTCTTGCCTCGCTTTTTCGGTTTTGGGAAAGTGAATTGATGTATCTTCTTCATCTTGTTTAGTGTTGCAGCTACGAAAAGTCCGATTATATTCATAGGAACAGGAGAACATATGGATGAGTTTGAAGTGTTTGAAGCCAAACCATTCGTTAGTCGTCTCTTAGGTAACATTTTTCTGGCATAGATTGATTGTTAGAAGTAATCAAAAGCTTCCTCATGAGTTGATATAATGTTGATGCACACAACAGGAATGGGTGATTTGTCTGGACTGGTGGATAAACTACAAGCGGTAGTACCTAAGGAACAACAAACTACACTTGTGGAGAATCTTTCTCAGGGTAACTTTACATTGAGAATTATGTACGACCAGTTCCAGAGCTTGATGAATTTCCCACTTAAGGAGGTTAGAACTAATCTCTTGTTCGAATAGTAACTTGAACAGCAAAATGTTGCTGATTAAACTAACGTGAGGTGTTTTGGTGTGTAGTTATACTCGATGCTTCCTGGAATTAGCGCTGAATTGATGCCGAAAGGACATGAGGAAGAAAGCCGCGCGAAAATGAAGCGATACATGACAATCATGGATTCTATGACAAATGAAGGTTAGATAAAATATCTTAACTTTGAGAAAGTTTCTCTCTAGTCTTGAGGGTAAAGTGATATGGGTGGTTTTGTTGCGCAGAACTAGATAGCTCAAATCCAAAGGTGTTTAGCGAGACGAGGATGATGCGTATAGCAAGAGGATCGGGGAGGATTGTAAGTGAAGTAATGGAGATGTTGAATGAGTACAAGAAGCTAGCAACTACATTTGGGAAGGGCAAAGGACAGAACATGAGCAAGATCCTACCGCCACAGTTGCTCAAGCAAATTGGCGGCACGGGCGGTCTGCAGAGTTTCATGAAACAGCTCGGTTCGAGCAAGGACCTCATGGGAATGTTCGGTGGCCGAAACAACTAGTTTACCGCTAGTTTCTTCCGTTCTTGCAAGCTCAGAACTGATCCTTGATTTGTTTTTATTGACTTATAAGTACAAATATTAAACCATTAACATTTAAATTATCTTATTATCCACATGGAGGAATCCCTCCCTTTACTTTTTTTGTAAAACAAATAAATTTTAATGTATCAATTGAAAAGTAGACACATAATATCGAAATAAATAGATACTAAGAAAGATAAACTGAAAGCATTAACATAAAATCAATTGGAAGAACAATCTTTTCTTTTCTCATCGGTAAGTACAGACAGAGAGAAACTTCTCGTGTTTTTTTTCTTTAATTCTCAGTTTCGTGTTCTTGCTCAGAACAAGACCGGTAAACAACAAACAGATACTACAGACAGAGAGATCAAAGTCATGGATGATGCTTAGTTTCTTTTACCGGTGATTCAGGAATATATTCATTGCGGTGAAGCTTCAGGATGGTGTTGTGGGTTAGGTATCAGCTCAGGTGCTACCGCAAAGTGCAATCCTCCTCTGCGTTGTTGTCCACTGCCGCTATGTAACATAAACGCTACTTCTGCAGCGGCCAGAGCGGCTGCTTCCTGCTTTTCATAACACACAAGAAAGACAAATTATAAGCATTAAGTACACATGAGTTAAGGTTTATGTTTTTGGGTGTTTTCCAAAGATTATACATACCTGTCTTTGTCTGCGACGTTGTAAGATACTAATAGCCCAAGCCATGATGTAACAGGGGAGGAGGAAACCGGCAGCACGAAGCATGAAAAGCTGATGAAAACCGAAGGAAGACAAACACAATAAGTGTTATAACAAGAAACCAAAAGCTGGAGTTATGTAACGGACTGTGAGTAAGAGATTTGCTTACAAAGAAGAAAGCTGATGGATCGTCTTCTTCATCGTCTGAGTTGTTGTTGGTAAGGTTCAGAGCGTGTCGCAAGAGTAAAAGCGCCATTAACTGTCATTTAACTGTCATAAGTTTCCATTTTCAAGAAAATAAATACAAAACAGATAAATGCCGACTTACGATAAGAGCAGCAGAGCGACAGAATGCAGCTCCACTTGAGTTAGAATCAGCGTATTCATCATAGTCCGCATCAAAGAAATGGCGTTCTGCAGCCGCCATTGCCAAAATGCGAGGGTCGTTTAGATCTAAGGGAACACCATTGGCCCAGTCTTCACTGTATGACACAAGAAAAATCAACAACAGCATCAGTAATGTGACTTGAATAAAGTGAAGTTTTGTTATATGAATACGAGGAAAAAGAGAGAAGATTCAGAAATCGTTACCCGATATCAATAACAGTATCATCAGCGGGAGGAGGCGGTAGAGCTGTGTAGCCAGGTTGATAAGACTGTTTCAATCAAGGGAGAAGAAAACAAGATCTTAGTATTTTTTGCAACAGTTATATATTTAACCATTCGGGTAGCGATAAATTACAGCCGATAACAAACTAACCACTGGTT